GTTCATCAATCACCCCTCCATGCAGACCACAAAAATGTCTACTTCAAAGGCAAAAATCTATCAATCTGTATGCATTTAAAACATCGTCTATATGTACAGACAAATGTGCATTAAAATGTACACCTGATTCATTAGCTTCTCCTTTTTTGTGTGTGTGTGTGTGTGTCATGGCAATAACCATCTATCTGTATCTGTATCTCCTCATATATATACATACATAGTTATATACAAATGTGTGCATTGAGGGAATGAATGCAATAATCTATTGAGCCGGCTCGATTTAATAACTGGCGCGATTTGCTGTTTGTCATATTTCATAGTCCATGGCACGCCCATTACTAAGAGGACGCCCCCTCCCCCCCCACTCGTTCCACAAAACCAAAAGGATAAAAAGTATGGATGAGTATGGCAGCTATAGAAATTCATTTTTGTGCAACGCGGACACATTTGCCGCGTAGGAACGTAGTCCTTCGGGGAGTTTGGATGGGGGTGTGGTAGGGGGGCCATACGAGATGGACTGACAAACCAGATGGCAGCTACGAACCCCTGCCTGACTACGCCCCTGAAGGCCAGCTGCAGCTCCCCTAAGGAGCAGGCAGAGCATTAACGAGAACCATCGGAATTGAAATGCGAATGAAAAATGTGCGCTCTGCACATTCTGCTGCGATTGTCAAGAGCGCTAATAAATTTCCACTTGCCACCGCTCAATGCTCAGCCCAAATGCAACTCATCCCATCCCATCCCCCCCATCCCATTCCATCCAGCCCCTTTAACCGGATCCATTCCATCCAATCCCCTTCTAGCTTATTAGTCACCAACGGCAGGTTTTTTTTTTGTTTTGGTTTTGTTCTTTTTTTGAACATTTTGTATAAATCATTGCGGCCTTTGGGCGAAGGGAAAAAGTACAAAATGCGATTGGCATTTACTAAAAATGTGCAACTGTCACCTGAGTCGAGTGCTTGCATTTTAGAAATATTATGCTCAAGGGTGCTGTGGGTCTATGACCGATATTCGAATATATACATAGGTACATATTGTTGATAAATTATCATGGGAAAATAATGGCCAGATCCTGGAAGAACTTTATGTAGTTGGGAGTGCAATAATGCAAATTAATCATCGTGGTGCTATTGTTTAATTTTGAAGGATTATGTGGATAAATATTAATCTAAAACTTATGCTTATTCTCCGCTCTGCACTCGTATCATTCGCAATGAATGTGACCGTTCGCTTATGGGTAATTTTAATCGTGAACAAATCTCAATTTGCGCTTGGCATAGGTCAACAAATAAGAAGCAAAAATTGTCATACCAAGTCCCTCTCTCGCACATACATACATGTGTGTATGTACATCTAGCTGGGAAAAATTGAATCTCTTCTTCTTTGCACACAGATTGATTTGAACCCAAACCCTACAAAGAGCTACCCATAATCACATTCATTTGTGCTCCATCTAACATCCATCTCCAGCCCCATACACAGGGTTATTCCAGCCAAAATCTCAGCATCGTACGCTCTCGATAATTCACTTTATGCTGCATCCCAGGTACAGTTGTGTTCGGGTAATTACTGCACCGTTCATAAATACGAGCACAATACATACATTCTGAAAAGTGTCAAATTCAACACCAAGGCCAGTCCTTGACGTTTGTCCGGACACCACAACCAGAGCCAGAGCCAGAGCCAGAGCTCCGGGAGTGCCAGGTTAAAATTGAGGCTGGCTGAATAAACAAGCGGTCAGACGACGCTGTGTGTGCTCTTGCCCCCAAAACAAAACAAAAGCAAATAGAAAAAGTTTTTAGAAATTCGAATCATGTAACGAAATACGGTCCAAAATTCAAAAGTCCCAAAACACAGACATGCACTGGGTATGCAGTACGGGGTAGGGGGTAGGGGGTACGGGTACGGGTACGGGTACGGGTACTACGGGGACATGGAGCTTTAGACTTTAATAAGACTTTTGTGTGTCCAGGACTACCCACTATCCCTCCCCCTAACGCCTTCACCCATCGCTTCAGACAAAATGTATGTAAGCTTCAATGTTGTAATTTATGTGCCCGAGTGGGGGGCTGACATGCCTGAGCACAAGGTGTATTTTTGGGGGGGGTAAGGCCATGACCGATCATTGCTTTACCCCAAGCACAACACTCTCCGTCTCTGAAATACTTACAAATATCCATAGCTCACCAGTGCGAGTGTGAGTATCTTACCCTACCCTACCCTACCCTCCCTACCCCTTCTATCAATATACCTTGCTGACAGCCTTTGCTCGAACTGCAGCAAAATGCATTTGGCCATGTGTGTGAGTATGAGTGGGGGGTGTGCGGGTGTGCGGGGTGTGCGGGGTGTGCGCAACATGTGCTTATAATTATGTTTTCTCTGTGTGCTCATTTTTGGGGAATCGCTTGCCGTTGCTGCCCAGACACGTGCCTACGCCCACCTTCTGTGCATACAAATTACAAGCAAAAGCACAAGCACAAGCACATACAAACATACACATACACACGCACACTCGGACAGACAGCCTTCTTGTTGGCTGGCTGCCTGCCTGCCTGGGGCACGGCACAATCGGATCCCAACGAACCTGACCTCAAGCTGCAATTGTAAACGCTTAATTTGAGGTCAGAGTAACGTGCAACAAAACGCATCTAAGGCAGCTGCCAAAAATGTTGCCGCTTGCATTTCAAAATGCAACGCACAAAAGAAAACCAAAACAAAACACACAAAAAAAACACAAGGAAAGGATACTTTTCCCCTTCCCCTTGGCTAGCTATGCACATGATATAATAATCCGATTTGGATGAGCCTGTATAAGTTGTCAAAATTACTGGAATGGGTATCCCCTTCCCCTTGTCACTTGTCGCCAAGTTTTCCGCCTCTTAGCGCTTGATTTCTCTTTGCTTCTGATTTTCAGCCATGAATCTAAACCGTCGATATTTCTGGACACCTCTTGTTTGTACATAAAAAAATGAATTTATTATAATGCACACTTTAGTTGTTGTTTTTGAATTTATTTATTTATTATTTATTATTAATATTATTTATTATTAATATTATTTATTATTAGTATTATTTAGTATTAATATAATTTATTATTAATATTATTAATTATTAATTTTATATATTATTTATTTTTAAATTTGCCAGCATTCTTGGCTTAGCTGACGCGGCTTTATGGCTCTTGAAGTGCTGACCAAACGAGGCATTGAATATTGATCGTGCATGTTTTGATACATGTACATAAATACATAAACCTGATGACTCGTTATGTAAATACTTTTTTTTTGCTTCGCTCTCCCCTGCCAATCTTGCACTCCGCTTGCTTTAGGATCAATCCAGACACATTCAATAGAAAGCTCTCTTTGCATGCACTTATGCACTGCCTTATAGCTAGTATACCTTGGGAACACCTCCCCTTAAAAGTTGCCAGGCTGCCGCAGGGGCAGACAACAGCGACGACCGGCGACAATTTACACCGCAGCACGCAAAACGCTTGTCACTTGCAGCAATGGCAAACAAAAAAAAAAAGGGCAGCGCGGCAACCCACACACACGCCCCAGCACCACCACCCAGAATCAGGGCCTAGAGAGGGAGAGAGGGAGGACGCTAAAGAGAGGCCAACAAATCCATTCAGCGATTTGTGCCAAATGTCGGCCGCTGGCTTTTGTCTTTTGTATGCGCGCAGTGACCTGCAAAAATGGCAGACGCTCATTGTTTGCCCTGGGCCACACTCCCACACTCCCACTCCCACTCTCCCCCCCCACTCCAGCTCTCTCCCACTGCCTTTTCTGCTGCTCCATTACTGTTTGTTCTGTTCGCACCTGCTGTTGTACGGATGAGAGAGAGAGAGAGTGGGAGAGTGGGAGAGCCAGAAGCGCATCTAGCGGGCAGCCAAGTGCGTAGCGTAGCCCTTGCCCATTCTGTTATTTCTCTGCCATTCCCATTCCCATTCCCACTACCCCTCCAACTTATTCTCTTGCCCCAACTCTTATCCAGCAAATTCTGCAGTTAATTTAATTCATCACACCGCAGTCGCCGTTGCAGTTACGTTACGTTACACTTTGCTTAGTTTTTGCTACACCTTTGGAGATGGGGAATACACTCGTTTGACTTTGCAACTAAATAACGCATTTCTTTATGCAGTATGTAATATAGAATAAGGGCCGATAAATCATATAAGCGATCGGTCTGACAACAATCCATCAGCAAGGGTATCAAAGACTTCGGCACGACGCAGCTGGCATTCTTTTTTTGGTTTTGGTTTTATTTCTTTGTTTTTTTTTTTTTGCATGTAATTTCTATTCTTCTTCTTTTCTTTTGCATTTCTGTCGCGTTTGCCCAAAATGCTGCTGCAGTCTTTTCTTCCGTTGCTGCTGCTGCCGCTGCTATCTCGTTTCTTTGTTCGCAGCTGCCCTTGGAGTGGGTGGTGGGTGGCAAGCAAGGGGAGCTGACAAGACTGAGCGGGCATGATGCAGGCAAATATTGTCTTTGCACAGAGTCTCATCTTTGACAGTCTTTATGTGCCTGTCCACCCCCTCCCACCGCCCACCCCGTACCCCACTGACAGAATCTCTCCTTTATGCTCGCCATTCTGATGATTTGTTTGTTGGCTTGTCGGTGCAGCCAGCTAATATATGTATGTATGTACGAGTATGGGGGAGGAGGTATCCAATGTATTTTTGTCACGAATTCAATAAATGATTTTTAAGCACGTTTTTATTACTTTTTGCTTATTGCTGGAAAATGTTTCCGGCCTGGATATGGAATCCTTTTGGCAGTGCATGACTTTATCTCACTCTCTGCGTCTTCTTTTCTTGCTCTTCACCTGCCCCCCTCTGCCCATGGCTTTCTATTCGGTATGCGTGATACCCCCTAGGGCATACTTCTCGGGTATACAGTCCATGGGTCAACCCACGTGGGTCAGTCCATTGGCTAACCTCCGTGGGTCAGTCCTTGGGCTGCAGAAACATACCAAAAGAAGTGGCAGACATGTTGTATAGATTGCTGCAACATCCACAGCTTTTTTGGTAGTATAAATATTAATTTTATTATTTATTTAAATCTATTTATTTTTTTATTTTATATTTATTGATTAATTTTGTAATGTTCCGCACTCCACTGGACTTAAACTGACTACATGGCTAACCAATTTCTCCAGCTCGCTCCCCTAGTGTTGGTAAACTATTCACCGTAGTGAGCGAAGTTCATTTTAGTTGTGGATTCAAGATGGCGTACTAGTTCCAGCTCATAGTTCAACCGGCAGCAGACTGACGTGCAGCGCGTACAATTTTCGCTGGAGAAATTTCGCAATTTCGCAACTTATTCGTAAGTCTGAGTGAATACTTTTACTGTGATAAAAAACCCACAGAAGTTATATCGTTGTTCACTGAATAATATAATCGAGGTGATTGCAAAAACCAAACAAATATCTTTGGCTCAAATTTCCGTAGCATAACCTCTTTTCGCGTTTTTTTTTTCGTTTCTTGTGCAGCAAAAACTGAGCTCAAAACTACTTTTATTAAGTCCGTATTTGGATTAACTTGCATGCCTGCATGTGTGTGTTAATTTTTCAAGATGGTGCACGAACTGGTTCCAGTCCCAGCCAAAGCGTCACTTCAAAACCAATAAGAATTTTAGCCATTGAAGCCATAACCTTATTTGACCCAAAAAAAGCCGAAAGTAACACATTTTTGGCTGCAGAGCCGATCAAATAGTGAGTGCAGGGTTGCACCAGGGTATTTGCTTAGTCGATTATTGCCCATCTATGCAGCTAAAATCTCCAACTAATTTGCTTGAAAAATTATGGCTTTTTTTTTGTTGGTTTGCTTGGGCTCTACGACTGGAACTACTGCCCCGCACAGTCATTGGATGGGGGTAGAGCGGCGAATTTCCAGTGAGTGCGTGTGCATGAGTCATCATTCAAGACAGGAAGACAGGAAGAGAACTTGCAACCATCCCCAACGAAAAACGAAAGGGAACCCAAAAGAAGTGAATGTTCAATTCAATACAAGAAAATGCACTTTGCTAATGAATTAAATTGTCTTCTTGCAATCCGCAGTCGGAGCTGGAAGTCGGCTCTGCTCTTGTTTTTGCTTCGGGTTTGCCTATTACATTTGTGTGTGGTCACAGTTATGTATGTAAGTTTGTTTACATACTACAAAGAATTTAAAAATATTTTACAGAGCTACCAAAATTCAAAAAATGCAAGCTAAAATAGGGAGAAAGTTTGTTTTTTCCCTGCTACATTCCAGTAGGATCTATTAGGTATCCCACAGTCGTAATATTGTCTATATAATTTTATTTCTGTGATTTAATTTGCTTTGGTGTCGATTTGAAACTGTTTTACTATCGCAATTTCAATTTGAACAATCGGTGAAGTCTGAGTAATTTTTTTTTTTTTTTGGTTTTTTCTTTTGGCACTTTCTTTGCGGAGCTTTAAGATTTTTAGCGTTTGTTGCAACTGCATACGTTTTGGCTCCATCAATAAATCATTGAGCAGACAACGACGCGGCACGGTTGTTAAAAGCACTCCCCTCCCTCCCTCATCCTGCATTGCTCTCCCTCTCTCACATTCACGCTGTCAGTGGCGTGGCAACCGCAAGTCAGCAGGTCCCTGGGAGCATGCCATATACTCCCATATTCCCCCCCTTTTTTTTTGTGTGTGTGTCTTGTGTGCGAGCCCCTGTACAGTTATATAGATATAGACGGCACGGCATATCAATATTCCGCATAGACGGATTGTATTTTCAATATTTGCGCAGCGGCAGCAAAAAGAAGAATGAAGGAGAGGAAGAATAGACCGGAGCGCAGGCAGAGTGTATTAGAGGCAGTGAGAAGAAAAGGCTGAGAGAGAGAGAGAGAGAGAGAGAGAGACCAATGCAGGAAGAGGAAGCTGGAAGAGAGAGCGGCAACCACACCAGAAGTAAAGTAAAAAAAATCTATTAAACGATATGTGTCTCTTCGGCGCTTTTTAATACGTGAATATTTTGTCAGTGATATAATTTCCACCTTTGGCATTTTTTCTGGTCTTCTGGCTCTTGCCCATTAGGATCAGTATTCATATAAAATATAGAAAGTCTCTTCTCTTTGCCGATTGTTGGAATTTATTTAATCCTTTTATGTTTTTTTTATTATGCAATGTTTAATTTTATTGCAAAACCATCGGCATAAAACGTCTCGTGTAACTAGGCGGCATTAAGTGAGCAGCAGAAAGAGTATCAGCGGCACAGCAACAGCACGCGACTGGCGTGGACTGAGAGAGGCGAGTCTGTGAGATGGAGAAGGAGCAGCAGGAGCAGGAGCAGGAGCAGCAGCAGCAGGGGACTGGCGGCTTTTGTTGGTTTTGTATTGCAATGATTTAGCAGTTTTTCGTCTGTGTTTACGCTGTGGATAAGGTTTGACGGCTCTCGATTGTCGTTCGTTCGCTCTATTCCTGCAGTCTCTCAGCCGTCCTTCCCCGTACGCTACGCTACCCTACCCAACCCACTTCCACGGCGGTTGCATAAGAAATCAGCAAATTGTTGTGTTTTAATCGAACCCTGCTTGCCCCGTCGTTGCCCTCTGCGCTCCACCTCTCTCTCCCAGTGGAGCAGACAATAGGCGTCGGTGCGCCAATAATCTAGCTGTCTTTCTCCAACACACATTTTAAGCCGCAGACTGCATTGAATTTTGTGTCTGTGTCTGCATGTGTGTCTCTGTGTGTGTCCTGTGTGTGCCTGTGTGTCTCTGTGTGTGTAAGTGAGTGAGTGATCAATATCCCACAATGCAGTGGCGCTGCTCCGCTCCGCTCCGCTCTGCTCTCTCCACTCACCACTCTTCGCTGCCAGCTACTTGTGTAAATAACTGTCAGCCAATTGTTGTTTAATCGCCAGCTTAGCTCTCTCTCTCTCTCTCTCTCTCTCCCCACTGCCAATACTCTGCCGTTTGCCCACTGCGTATATTCTGCTCGCTGTGCTGAGAGCACTGGTCTCCGCTCTATTGGCGGATAAGTGCGGTTCTACTTTAAAAATTTCAGCAAAAAATATAAAACGTAAATAAAAGACTGACTTCAAGAGGGCGAAGGTTTTTCGATATCCTTGCAGATCTATGTATCTTCCCCTGCAAGGGGGTCATTATAATGACGAGTGGCAAGAAGAGAAGTGGAGCAGTGACTCCTCAAGATGGAATGCGGTGGGGGGCTGGGCGATGGCTAATTAGTTGCACATTTTACATTAATTAATTTTCATGGCATATCTGTTCCTTGGCCGAAAGTTTTGTCATAAGAAATTCCACAAGGCATTAGTAGCAGCCGACGGCGTTGCTGCTGCTGCTGCTGCACTTTCTATACCCCCTCCCTGCCACCCCCCCACCACCCACAATTCCACTCTCACACTGTGGGTGGCTGGAGTCTTTGCCGTCTTTGATCCTGGTTACCCGACTAATTGGATTTAGTTAGAGCTAATAAAAACGTTTACAAAAGAATTTCATTTTTACTGCAAATTGGCCTAAAATAATTATTCTCTTTTTTTTTTGGTTCTTTACGTTTTTGCCCCAGCAGCAACAATGGCACAATAGAGGGCACACAAGTGATCGACAGACAGATACCTATTATTAACTTTTTTAATAGAAATAGTTTTTTTTTTTTAAATTTAATCTTTAAAATTTAATTAATTAATTAATTGAAAATTTAATATAATCAAATCGAAAACGTCACAATAAAAGGCATTACGAAGTGCTTGGAATATTTGCAGATAAAACTATTTAAATATAACAGTTACATGGGAAAATGGCTATATATAAAGATCTATAAAGCCGAATACGCCCATCGAGCGGTAAAGCGAAATCGCAACGCATAAAAATCGTCTCAGTCTCAATCCCAGTGGCAAGCCCCGGCAGCATTCTACTCTCTTGTAAAGCCTAATGAACCGCCCCAGAGTGTTCGTCGTAATTGCCTTCCGTGGGAGCGTGGACAGTCATAGTCCCAATGACCAGCCAGCCTGCCCAACCCCAATCACTCCAATGTCCCGCTTACGCCCATTGCCTCCCACTATCAACAGACAGCTGTTGTCCGTACTGGGGGGCCTGGCACGTCTTATCGACATATATCGATAAAAGAATTAGCTAAATCGTGACTGCCACTTTGAACATGTCGCTGCCATTAATTATGGGATGATGACATGACGACGCTCTCCATTCTCCACTCTGGACATCCTCATTCGCATCCGTATTCGCATCCACATTCATGTTGTTGATTTTATTAGCTGGCCCACTTTCGATTACGCCCCAATCCAACGCCCGATGCCACACAGCTCACCTAATTAAAATCGACTTTTTGTGCAATTAATGCCCCCAAATCAAATTATCAGCTCGGGGCAAAAGTTTCCAGCTCGTGTGGCGCCTCAGCCTCAGCGCCCAAAAAAAGTTTAGTATTTGGGTGGCAGACGGGACTCACTCACCGGCACTGGTAGTAGTTCCTTCTGTATTGGTTCAATAAACAGAATCAGAAGGTGGCTTAGTTTGGTTTGGTTTCTTTATTGTCTTAGTTCTAAGATGAAGCACCAACTTGCATGACACAAAAATAGACAAAGAAGGAATCAGTTTCTGGCAGGAAACTTAATCTATATAATTGACATTTTTTTTTGGGTTAAAAAAGATTCAATTGAATTTTGTTCTACATTAGCAAGTCAATATTCAAGACTTTTTTGGTGGTGTGCGTTAGCGGCTGATTTGTGACTCGCTTTCTTCAGGACTTTGCTCATAAATAGATAGGGAATATGGAATTATAGGGACGCTGGAAGCAGCCACTGCATGGCGTGCCGCTAATTAATAATCATTCAACTATTTTTTTAAACAATTTATACCCGTTTTATATAAATATTCCCATAATATCTAAAACTCGCACCTCCATCCCAATCCCCCTAATGGTCTCACAGTTTTTTTTTCTCACGTTTATGTGTGTGTGGCGGTCTAATAAATTCCATTTCGATTGCCTTCCACTTGACGAGTCAAAGTCAAACCCAAAGTCGGGGCTCACAAATTGACACAAATAAAATGTTGAGTGGCCCTCAGATATACGCCCACCCCTCGACCCGACCGGTTGCCTTCGCCACACAAAAGTACCGACCGTTTGCCGCCTCTGGCCGGCAGTTTATCATGTCCGCCAGGAATAATTCAACTTTGCTTATTTCACACTTCAATTTTGTAGGTAAACAAAGTTTTTTTTGGTTCGTGGACCCCCCAAAAAAAAGTCTAAAAAAGGCCGTAGCATTAAATACCCTTGCGGGTATACTGTTCCTCACGTCGGCCCATTAGATACCCTTACAAAAAACGTTTGCTTTTTTTTTTAT